ATAAATAAATAAATAAATAAATAAATAAATAAATAAATAAATTTTGTACCATAAAAGAAACAGAAAGCAAAAGAAAAACCTATGTATCACTTTCAAAATTCCTTAGATCTTTTTGAAATGATGATTTCAATTTGATTTGTTAGTGGATGTGAAGAACTATAAACAGATAATGGGATTCTACAAACATCACATTTGCAGCATGACGGTGCTTATCCAAAGTGTTATAGTAGCTATATCTTTTATGCCATTGACTCCTAATGACACAGTTGAAGATGCCAGCAAGCAATAAGAAAAAACAACCCACAGCTGTTTCAATGTCCCACCTTCCTCTAAAGCACACAACTGTATAACTGATGTGCAACTGTAACTTAAATTTTCACTGTCTTGATCTGGATATGGATTTTTTGTTTGTTTATTTCTGTTTTCACTGTGCATGCATGATTGTGGGCCTATAACAAAAAAGCAGCATATAAACAAAGTTACAACATTAAAAAAACTCTTTACACAAAGTGACATCCCCTACCCTGTATTACTTTAAACACTGGGAACTTTTTATTTAAAAAAACCTATGCGTACTCTGTCTAAATCACTCAATTTATTTACTTTCTGCCAAGTTGCTCAAGGAAATTCAAACAACAGTGCTGAGAAAGAGTAAGTAATTAGATCCATCTATTGTAGCTACCACAAATTATAGAGTTCATTGTCCCACACTTGAGAAAGCAGAAGTGATCAGCATACCTAGAGCATGTAATGGGACAGCTACACCAAGGGAAAATCACCTTCATGATCATGGTTATCTACCCTGACAAATATTCTGCCCTTTAACCATAGAATCAGCTCACCCATAAGTGGGATTCCAGGTGAAAGGCTGAGACAAGCAGTCTGCCACCATCGCAATCATAGGTTAAATACTAAATGCTCACCTAACTGTTCCTTAGTGCGCAGGGTATTGAAGCAAGGTTCTGAAATAATTTGACAGAAGAGCTCCAAAAACATATTCTCTGAGGTGCTTTGCATATCTGTTTGATAATATATTTCTATGCCACAATTGTTATGAACTTCATTCCTCTGTTGATAGACGAACCAGCCTCCTACAAAAAAGCAAAAAATATATAGACGATCAGTTCAGAAATAAGTAAAATACACAGAGACTTTTATCAGAAATAAAACTGGAGTGGAAGAAGGTATTTATCCTTAACTGCAAGGCACTCCTTAGCATAGAACATTACATTTTCCCTTTCTAAATCCATGGGATATGCAACTCATAGGCCAAGGATAAAAAAAGGATCTATTTTGAGCTATGGTTTCTTTGTTTCATGAGCAAAAGACTGTAGCTTCCCACAAGAGCAGCTGATCAGCTGCATAAATATCTTAAACAACGACAGTCATGATTTTGGTAAACAGCATGTCCAGTGAGTACATCAGAAAATATTCTTGAATTAAAATGCAATTTGCTAACCTGCACTTCCAAATATTGCAATCAATTTTGCTTTCCTGCACCTTCTGAAAAAATTCTGGATACACATTTGAAAGTCAAATATTGAGAATTAAAGTGTTTCACTTGTATAGTTATTCTACTTGGAAAAATAAGGCATGGGTTTCTCCTCTAATGCTACATGCGGATGGATCTAAAAGCAAATAATTTTAGTACTAATTTTAAAGGACTTTATAATTTATCATTGAAACCGTATTAGTTTCTAACAGTAAATTAGATGTCAGTGAAAGAACACGCGTTCCATGTTATTTCCAGCAGCATACTTTAGGACAGGAGTCTCAGAACTCATTCCCAGACAGGGAAAGAGAGGGTGTTCCATAGCCTGGGAGCTGCCACAGGAAAGGCCCTCTCCCATGTCCCCATCAGCTGTGCTGACAATGGGACCAAGGGTAGGGCCTCCTCTGCTGATCTTAATCGTCAAGAAGGTGCATATAAGGAGATACAGTCCTTCAGGTAGGCTAGACCCAAGCTGCATAGGGCTTTATAGATAATGACCTGCACTCTGAATTGGGCCCAGAAATGGACTGCTAGCCGGTGCAGTTCTTGTAATAGGTACATTATAAGCTCCCTGTAGCTGGCCCCAGTCAGTAGTCTAGCTGCAGAGTATTATTCATAGATGGCCAAGTTCTAATATTAGTTAGGCCATACTCTTCAATGGGGCTCCAACACAGAGAATGAAAATGGTTGATACAGCTCCCTCCCCAAACTTCCTTCAGCACAAAGTAAATCCTGCTTTGGTTCAGTGAAAATACTCTTGAAGACTCGAGGGCCGCTGGTAGCAGGACAGATTACCTCTTGCTGTGATCACAGTGCTTCAGGGCTCACAAAGGGAAGACAAAGTACTTTTTATGAGCACAGTGTCAGAAGTCATCTTTGACTGGGCTTAATTCCAAGTAAATGTGCATAAGACTGACCATGGCTTTAGTTAGGTTTAGGAGGACTACTGTTTTTTTTTTAACTTGATTGCTTTTAGTTTACGTCTGACTGACAATTCTTGAGGGGTCTCTATAGGAGTCCATTCTGCCTAATTATTTCCACAGGACATTTATCTCCCTAAACCTGTGTGTTGTGTCTGCCCACCACCCCACTGCAGAGTGCATACACCATGGATTTCATTTTTAAACGAGATATCTTCCACCCAGAAAGATGACTTACTGTCTGGCAGTTGTACTTCTCTGTATCTTACTAGCTGGCTAGGAAGGAGAGGCTTTGTGTGAGCATGCTCAATGAGTGTGTCTTCAACCATCTGCATTATTCCTAACGCAGCCTGGAAGAGAAGAAAATCATTGCAGATTTTATTAAGTCCCTGAGAATGTTCCACTTGGTAACAACATAGAAAGGTACTAAGAGGTGGAATAAGTGAGCAATAAAAACATGATTAATTGCAACAGATTAATATTGGAAATGGGAAGCTGAAATAATTCATGTGACTACTGCTACTTCATTCAAGGATGAAACAGAATCTTTACATTTTTCTGTAATATACTGTATATAATACTGATAAAATAAGAACTTTAAAAAGAGCATACCCAGGTCAGTATCCAGTTTGTCTTTTTGCTACCATAAAAGATGTTACACTCTCAGAGTGCACTTAAGTTTTCAAGCAAATGGTATATAATTTGAACAGAGAGCACTCACTGAAAATAGGTAAGAATGAAGTCAGTGGCTAAAGTCTGTTCATCACTGGTACAGCATTTCACATTCATAAGTCCAACATTTTGCACAGATACCATAGTTGGACGTTTCGGTACATGCAATTCTGTTGACTTCTTCCCCTTATCTCTGGTTTCTTCCCTCCAACACAAATACTCAGTATAGATCTGTCGTGCCTTGAGCAAATACTGTATACAGGTTCTCTTCATTTCTATACACTATCTACATTGCATTAAAATGCCTTTCCCAAGTGAAAACACTCTTACAAAACTAAAATATACCTATTAACAGCAAATAATCTCATACTATGAAGAACATCATAAAGTATATTATTTCTAGTTCATAAACTGTCAATAACTTTAGCCACTGACTTCATTCTTACCTATTTTCAGTGAGTGCTCTGTTCGGATTATATACCATTTGCTTGAAAACTTAAGTGCAGGGAAGTAGCATACATTACTGCAGTTTTATTTTGCTAAGAAAAGAGAAACCACCATGTGCCATACAATACATATTGACTCAAATCTCATTCAGTGCATGTTTAGAAGCCCTACTATATTTTGAGGGCTAAATCCAACTGTTAATCCCAACTATAGTAAACCTATGTACCTTATTTTGGTAAATTTTGACTTGCATAGCTCACCATGGCAACTGTCAATAACTAAGGAGGTACTCTCATGTTACAAGACCTGCACCTGGCTGGGCAACAGATGCATGCTTAGTGATACAACCAATGCCTCCTTAGTCAGTGGCAATCTGAAGCAAGTTATGCAATTTAATCTATGCACTCCTAAACCACCAACAAGATTCTTGCCGTGGGCAGTAAAATTATGAATTTTTTTAAAAAATGAAACTATCAGATAAAAGTGTTGAGTTCTAGTATCATTATCAAGATATATCTGCTTTTTCTGAAAAACAAATCAAAACCAACCTGTTTCGTGATATTGCCATGGAGAAGTGCTTCAATGTGTAACCGTGACAACAGCTGAGAAATAAAGGCCTTGAGGCGGGGAAGAGTGACATCTACAACAGATATTTAGACATTTAAATCAATCATGTTTTCCTTCTAGAGGAGGAAAGTACATTATTGCAAAGTGAAATGCATTTCTTAAGAAGAAAAAAGAAAAATTGTAATTATCACCAAAAGGCAGTGGGTGTTTCACCCCCCCTCCCAAATATTCATGTTTGGAAAGTTTCCAGGTCTAAATTGTTGTGCTCACTAAACATTTTGCCTTGTTAGAATTCATATGTTGGTTTGACCCAGATTCCAACATAGGGGGGAAAAGGGAAAGAACAGAAAGACAACTCTGCATTGAAATCAATGCACATCTATAATGAAAAATATTCACAACTGTACATATAACTACGTACTGAACATATGGTTTATTACTCTCTTGTAAAGTACTTCAGGCATCTTGGCAGCAACAATTTAAAAGGCTGATAATTAACTCTAAAATTCTTTTATGTTTATGTGTGTGTTTGTGTACATACATGTGAGTATGTATATGTATGTACTGTGTGTCGTCAATTCCAACTGATGGCAACCCTTTCCAGGGCTTTTGAGGTAGAGAATAAACAGAAATGGTTTACCATTCCCTTCTTCTGAGAGTGTCCTGGGACTGTGCACCTCACCTGTGGCTCTTACAACAGGAGGCACAGTGGAGAATTGAATACCAAACCATACCTACACCACTGGGCTATCCAGCTAGTCATCAATATAAGTATGTCATTATATGCATATGCACAACAGGGTTATCACTTCTGGTTCTAGGTACATTTGAACCATCACTAAAATCAATCAGATAAGAAGATATTGCATTGGGTCTGATCACTCTAGTAGAAAGTTTCAGCTTTGCCAGCTATGCAAATGCAGATTTCGGATGCTTTCTAAAGGCCTACAGGGCTTTTTAAAAGCTCTTCTTTTTAAGAGCCATACTTTCTGATCTGACACATACTTGTGATCAGTTCCCATTTCATTGCTTTTGAGGAAGAATATTAAGATACATCGCTTCAACTGGCCTTTAAAACTCTTTTAAAGCTTACTGTTTTTATTTCACTGGGTTTACTGTATAATTTATTTTTAGTGATACTGTTAGTAGCTTCATATAGACTTGTTTTTCAATGGAAATAATGGAATAAACATGTAATAAATAAATACAAATAAGCAAAATATATGTTGGTTATTTATGTGAGCCTAAGACAAAACACGTTATGTCAATAGAGCTAACTGTAGCTTACTGATAAAGTACTGTGTATGTACTGGCTGCACAATTAATATGAAACCAGTATCTCTCATGTGGATGTAAATAACCAACAGGATTTGGTTATTTGGTTATCACACCAACAAAGGATATGATGTGAAAAATAGTCAGTCAAGACTGAACTTGCATCTCTGGAGAAAATGCTGAAAATGACCAATTAAGAATAGGTTTCCTTTCTAACCGAAGTCAGGAGACCTGACGCAAAAAGTCATACAGCCCTTAAAGACAGCAGCTACAGAATGGGATACTCCATCACCGAGAAGAAAATGGAATGGAGATGCAAAGAAGGAAATCCTTTTCCTTTCCAGCCTTCAGCCCACCAAGCTTTCATTCACAGTTCTTTGTCTGCATGTAGTCCCTGTGTTTTCCCTGTACTGTATTCATAAGAACGTGATAGCTGGATCATGCTCCTAATTTTAATATCCACTTCTTAAAATTTAACATATTTTTTTAAAAAAGAAGTTAAACAATCCCATACACTCCATACTTTTCAGTTTAAATTTAAATGTGCAAGTTTGAGTTCCCTGGTCTACTGCTGATATAATCATTGAATTAACCATAAGACATGCCACAATTTATAATGATGCTTTACCTTCAATACACTATAAAGGTAATTTCATTTACTCATCTAATATTGCTATTTATGGAAAAGCCATGGTCCATGTAGCTACTGTTAAGCTTTCTTAAGATTTGGTACAGAATCAGTTCTATGTACCTTTTATCCTCCTCTTTGGTCCCATCCACCACTCAAATAACTTCCTGACTGCATTTGGACCTTGGACTGAAAATTTAGCATCCTAGAGTTTGCAATGCAGATTGTTGTCTTCTTCACACAAACTCATGGCAGCCCCTGCAGTACCATAAATGTACTACACAGGAGGCTGATGAACCTGTGGAACTGAGTAGGCTGTAGTGGTGGTTTCCAGCAGAGGATCTTCAATAAGCAGATACAAAGGACAACCGTGCTTTTGGAATGCAAAAATACCAAAACTGTGGAACTTCTTTCTGCTAGAGCACTGTTACTCAACCTGGGAGTCATACTTTCGAATATGTGTGTGTCACCGGTTGCCTTCTAAGTGTTATAGTCCTTTTAAAATAACTTCTTCCTTGATCTTCCTAAGTGGGGTATTAACGTTAGCGAGTATACATATCTATAGAAACAAGCCCTTGAGAAAGAAAGAAGCCTCCACTTTCTGAGATGAATTAAAATGCCTTTTTATGAAAACATAGTGGTTGGATCCCAGGTTATTTGGCTATTATAAAAAGGGGTCATGAGTCTATAAAGGCTGGGAATCACTGTGCTAGAGACATAAACACATCTGAATCCACCCCAGAACATCCTTTTGGAAGCATAGGAGGCTGAGTGTCACTGCCCGGGAACAAACTACTACTACCTACAGTGGGGTCTCTACTTAAGAACTTAATCCGTACTGGAAGGTGGTTCTCAAGTTGAAAAGTTCTTATGTTGAATCTGCATTTCCCATCGGAATGCATTGAAAACCATTTAATCCGTATCTGCTCTTTTCCGTCCATAGAAACTACAGTGGAACCTCTACTTAAGAACTTAATCCGTTTTGGAATGGTGTTCTTAAGTTGAAACTTTCTTAAGTTGAAGCAAAATTTCCCATAGGAATGGACTGAAAACCAATTAATCCGTTCTGGCTGTTTTTTTTGTTATGTAGAGGTGCGTTCGTACATTGAAGCATTAGTTCCCATGGGAACTAATGCAGAGCTGGTTAATACGTACTCTACCACTAGGGGGAGAAATTTTTTTTTAACCTAAGATGACCTAAGGTTAAAAAAAGAGCAGGAAAGTTTTTTTTTCCCTGTTCTTATCTTGGACTTCTGTTCTCAAGTAGAAGCAAAATTTAGCAAATGGAGCTGTTCTTAAGTTGGATTGTTCTTAAGTAGAGACGTTCTTAAGTAGAGACCCCACTGTACAGCAATTTAGAATCTAACTGGCAATCTTATTTTGATGATTTTACTAAGCTTCCTCAGAGACTTAGTTTAGATATTTAAACACTATTATTTTAATCTCTTCCTGAAAGAAATCGGCACCATGTTATGATCAAGCATGATCTAAATTCTAAATCTGAAGGCTAAAATTCTAGAACTGAGAATAAAATCTCTTAATAAGTTTTCCAAGCACCACCAAGTTTATAATTGAAAATCTTCAAACTCTCCATAAAACAGAAACACTAAAATAGATTCTAATTAAAACAGAGATGAGATAAACTGATATATTCTTGCCTCAGATGAGACAAGAAGCACTGAACCAGAATCATGAAAAGTTACATCGGATGGAGTAGGTTAATTTTTCCATTAGTTCAGTATTGTCAATTCTGACTGACAGAGGTCTTCCAGGGTTTAAGGTAAGTCTTTTCTGCCCCATCTATAGATGTCATTAATTGAACTGGAACATTTTGCATGCAAAGCATTATTATGGCTCCTCTTCAAGACAAATGAAACACTATTCTGATTAGCAAGTTGGAACAAGTTTGAATATCAAATTAGAAAACAAAGATGCTTACATTTGGTAAAAGCTTACCATCTAAGGCTTCCTTTAATTCATCTTTGGTCCAAGCGACTTCTGTCATTAATAGCCGAAGGTAATACATAGCATGCTGGTGTGGCTGTTCAGCTCTAAAATTGTTAAGTGATCTCATATACTAGCAAATTTGAAACAAAAATCAAGTACTGTATTAGTTAAGAAATGAAGCATTGCAATGAATTCCATTAACTCATTATTTAAGATTGTTTTCAAAATAGATACTTAACATATAGTATATAGTTTGAAAACAAGCATACTGATATTAAAAACTAGGGTTTGAAACTGGTTAGCAAAGTCTGATTATAAGTAAGGTAAAAGGAATCTGTCTATGATAGTGTATGTTTTATCTTGCTGTCATTTTCCAGTCTCTGAAGGGTAGATAAGGAATGCAGAAATTGTACATTGACACTGGCCAAGAAGAAATGACTTCCGCTAAAAATCTTTCAATAACATTGGGGATATTTAATTTTTATACAGGGGCAGATCTTAATTTAGCCTTTCATAAACAGAACTCTTTAACTACAAAAGATTTCTGAAAATCTGAGAAAATCCCATTGTAGAGGAAGGGTGTTGGTCTCCTATTTCCATTTCAAGCTCCCACTCTCCATTCTGTAGGGTCCCAAACCTTAGCGCAGGTTTTTGGAGGATGCAAAAGAGGGGAAAATCAGGAAAAGATATACACAATTTCTACTCATGGGAGCAAAGGCTAGATCCAAAGCAAAATGAGTATACGAATTGCAACAGATCAATTTAGGGCATTTATACCCATCTCCAAGTAATCTCTCTCTCTCTTTCTCTCTCTCTGTAAGCAAGGAAAGGGCGCAAAAACACAGCGGGCGGCCATTTTCTTCACCCGGCGGCCATTTTGGAACCGCCGATCAGCTGTTCTTAAAACATCGTTATGCGATAATTGGTAAGCGAAACGCTTACCGATCATCGCAAAGGGTTGTTTTACCATCTAAAACATCGCAATGCAATCGCTTTTGCGATCGCAAAAAACACATCGCTATGCGGATTCATCGTTAAACGAATCACTCGTTATGCGGGGCACCACTGTAGTTCATGGCTTATGAAGAGATGACTGTCTACAGCGGTCCCCTACCTTTTTGGGACCGTGGACCGGTTGGGAGTGCAGGCTCTGTGTGCGGGGGCACCCCCGCGCTCGCAGGTGGGTGTGCCATGCTTGTGGGCAGGCGTGTTGTGCTTGCGACATGCCCACTGTGCAGGGGGGGAGACATTTATCTCCATGGCCCAGTTCCAGGAAGCCCACAAACCAGCAGTTGGAGACGCGTGGTCTAAAAGGTTGGGTATGCTGGAGATAAAAAGTAAGAGCTCTTCTGACATCCAACGTATGGAGTATTTTTTCTTGGTTTGAAGGTGGTGACGGAAAAAATGAAGGAAGGACAATTGGCTGAGAAAGATGAAATTGAGAGGCAATTTTGGGGAGGAAGGAAATGTCCATGAATAACTTCACCTTATCGGGAAAAAATTGTAGATAAGGGTAGTCATAGCGTAATGCTGCCAATTCACTAGCTCGTCAAGTTGAGGTGATGGCTACGAGAAAAGCTGTTTTAAAGGTGAGGAGTCTTAAGTCAGTTGTAGCTAATGGCCCAAAAGGAGTTTTGGTAAGCTGTTTCAAAACAAGAGTTAGTGACCATTGTTAATGTTGATGGTTCTGGTTAGGGATCGGTGGGCGATCCAAGGGCATCAAATATGGAACGGTGCCGAGCCATACGGAATGGCAATCCTCAGGCGATGGAATAACCAAAGGATTGCTGGAAGGAATGGAAGTTTGTGACTGGGAGGAGAGGATGCTAGTCGGTCGACTCTATCATCCCATTCTGGAGACTGAGAACAGGGTTGATGGGACAGAAGACTGTCATCATCTGAGGGAGATCCGACTGAAATTGATTCACAGAGTTGTTGTGGTGGGATGTCTGTAGGCTCAGACTGTTTAGCTCGTTTAGGAGGAACAGGCTCCGGAGCTAGAGCAGCTTCAGTTGGTCTCTGACGTTTAGAAGTTGTTTTTGAAGTCGAGGACTTCGGCATTGAAGGTTTCGATTTGTGTGTCTTTGAGGTCTCAGATGATACAGATGGAGAATTGGAGTGAGCTAATGTAGCCATTGGACGTTGTTTTGATGACTCAGTAACAGCTTTTTCCATTGCTTTGGTTTGAGAAGTGGCCTTACAGGGAGGTTGGGCCATTTGAATTGGTTGTAAGGATTGTTCCCAAAGTCAGAGATCTCGCCTCGAGAGGCGAGATCGAAGAATTCCACGCTTAAAATTTTTGCAATGGGTACAGGAGGAAGTTTGATGTCGTTCTCCCAAACAGAAAAGGCACTTAGCGTGTCCGACGGAAAGTGCGATCTTATTATCACAGATAACGAGTTGCTTAAACGGGCCCAAAGGGACTTATGAATAGGAGAAATAATTGAGGAGAAAAACTGATGATTGAAGGGAGGGGTGAAGCGGCCGGAGGCCGAGTGAGGGGAAAGAAAAAATCTCTGAGGAGTTTGATCTAATAGATTAAAAGAAAAACGATTGATAACAGGAAGGAATCAAGAATAAGCTCTCTTTCTCCTTTACTCACAGAAGCAGAATTATGAGGCTCCCAATGCGGCGGTTGAAAGAAAACTGAAAGGGGAGCCTTGGCGCCAAGGTACTTATATGGGTTGGGAGGGGCATATTCGAATGTGTTTACTGCTACTGCAGAAGCTCTAGAATCTTCTGATGAGGCTCCGTGCAGGTGCAAATCACCCAGGGTGTGATTCACAGGGGCCATGAAGAACTATGTTTGGTACTGTTCATCACCTACAATTCTATACTATCCATTTTTTAAACCTTTCCTTACAATGTTTGAAGGTTTGAGCTCTAAGCTCTCCAAAGAATGGAATACTCTGAACATATGGAATATTTGCTTTTTCACTAGGGTGATATACCTACTGTTCTGATTTTAGAATCAAGGTAAAGATCTAAATGGCTTACCGCCTCCTTGATAATTTCAAATCTCTTTTCATCGATTTCAAAGGTAGCCATTTTCTCAATAATCTTCTTCAGCAGGATGTGTTGCTTGTCATTGTAACCTTTTACAGAAAGCTATAGAGAGAATGTATAAGCAATGTTTGCAATGTTTCTTTAAAAATGTTAAAATCGTCTTTCAACATAGGCAAAAGCACTTAACATAAGGAAACAGCTTCTCACACTTCAGCAAAAACCCTTATATTTTGCTTTAGTGGTATGAAAGCATCTGCAGTGTTTTGTTCATGTTTTACTAAGTTTTGGGACTTAAAATGCTTACTTAAGTAAAGTATTATGAAAGCAAAATTACAATACAGAATAAACACTATTATATGTTGCAAAGAAGGAAATGCTCACCATTTATTAGTTTAACAACCCTATCATGGTTTTCTGGATTTAAAAATAAGGAAAACAATGCAGTAATCTTCCAGAAACTGTGGAATATTTTTCCAAATGAACAATAAACATAGCTCAAGATTTTATTTATTTATTTATTTATTTATTTAAAAATCTAGAGCAAATGTAGCAGGATTTTCATTCTACAATTTCTAAAGCAGAAGAGTTTATAACATTCTTATTAAGAAAAATAGGAGATGTCGACTGCTTAAGACATCAAGGAAACAATTCCAGAAATTTATTGTATGACTGGACTAACCCTCATACACATAAGCAGTTATATCCAAATACAGTTTCTTTGAAATGTACTCTATTTTAATATTACATTAACTCTGCTTTACATTGACATAATACTCTCATCTTCTGCCTGCTTTGTGTGTGTGTGTGTGTCTGTGATTTAACATGTGACATATAGTAATGCAGAAAACACCTATATTTGGACAAATTGTCTGAATACGTGAAATGAAATATAATCAGAATCTCTGGATAGCTAATAGAACAGATTTTTGCAAATATTTAGTGGCTGAAGTAAACAAAATGGAAATAACTTTCCTAGAACCAGGCATGGACAAAGTTCACCCCTCCCTGGATTACAATTCCCAACATTCATCACTACTGGCTATGCTTACTGGTTGACAGAAACTGCAGTTCTACAACATGTGGAGGGCCATAATTTGACTGCCCATATGCTGGATGATCAGACAAATAAGAATTCACTAGACACAAGATATATCTGAAGATATGCTGCAACAATGTTGCTGAAGCTAAATAAGTCTGGGCTGTTGATTAGATAGGAGGTGAATGCTATGTATCTCACCGTAATTTCCACAGCAGAAGAACGTCAGAATGGAAATGGAAATGACAACAGAACAGTCAGCAAGTGCTTTTTAATATTAAAAATTGTGCTTGTATTTTCAACCAATTTTAGTTGAGGGGGGAAAACTATTTGAAGTTGTCCTACACTTATTTCACAGTTCCTAATGCAGAGTACATCAGCTTAAAATCTGGCTAAGGCTTTAAAGAGAACTGTGTTATTTTTGTATCCGATTAAGAAAGTCTAGGAAAGAAGTAACAAAGCATGAAAAATCCATTTGTTTAATGTTAAAAGAGCAATTCATAACAATTGTCTCATTCCAACATGCTTTATTTTCATAGTTAGTAGCATTTTAATCAGCTATAAAGTCTGAAAATGCAGTTTTTAGCCTACAACAGTTTTTAGCTCATGCCCCAACAGATGCACTATCTAATGTCAAAGGACACTCTAGTGACAATGGTTGCCTTTTCCCTTCTTCTTTTTCCTATACATTTTAATCTAACGACTAAGAGACAACAAAATTCAGTGTTCATTTTCAAGCAGTTCTTTTAAGATTTTTACACAAATGAGTAACAAATGCAAATTAGAAACACAGTATTAGTACATTACCAATTCACGAATAACATTCTAATCACACCCACACCATTCAGTCAATGGTTATATTACTGCATGAGGTTTTCTCTCTGTTATTATACAGATGCAAGGAAACACAAAACCAGTAGCCATGTTGCTTGGAATTGAAAAAGCCAAACATCTTCCAAGAGGCATTTAATTCTCAAGCCATCTCATTTCATCCTGTCTTTTCCCCAACTTACTTACAAGTATTGCATTCATTCCTGATGCAATGGCATACACCAAACCTGAGAGGCGTGCTGCATATGTATACTCTTTTAAATCATCCTTCAATAACCTGATTAACAGGTATGTCATGTTGCAATGGAGAGGGTCAGCATAAAGGTAGCGACTAACAAAAAGAAAGAAAAAGGATGCTTTGATACCTCAAGCAGCGACATGGTAAATGGATGAAGAAACATGACTGAAGAGTATGTATATGCAGCCTCATAACCAATATTTTCGGGAATGAAACACTACAAGAATAGTAAGAAATTTGTTTCTTCATTAGAAGTCTTGACTTCATATGTGGACAACAGAGAAGAATCTTAAATCCAATTAGGGTGTAATTTTATTTTACTTTTAAGTACAAAAAAAACCCTTGCTATAAATCTTGTGAATGGTGTAAAATGAAGGAAAACGTTTCTGAATATGAATGGAAATGCTGAAGATTTAAGAAAAGATTTAACTGAAAATTCAGATTATGAGAAAGTATAAGTAAAAATCAAGGTTGGAAAAAGGAATTAAAAAATTAGATTCTCAGTTGGAAAAGCCATTTCAAAAATTACTTCCAGAAAATCAAGTTTTGTACTTGCTTTTTGATTAGTGGAAGTAAATTTAAGGCTTTTAAGTTTCTCCTTGATTTGGGTACTTACATACATCCCATAGATGGTATTTTGGAGATCATAGTTCAAGCCAGCTAGTTCTGCTGCATATGCATACTCGTTGAGGGAGTCTTTGAGTAGCTCAAGGTACAAATAGGCCATGTTACAATGTAAGGGATCCACGTAAGCAAATGGGCTGGAAGAAAATGTTGAAAGGAAAATATCTGATGTAATTAACTCCCAATTCTGTGAGATCCTCCATAGTGGATCTCAAGAATACAATGTAAAAAGCCATTCTGGTGCTTTCTCTTATAAGCATATTAGGACAAACAAACACTCAGCGAAAAGAAAAACAGATTAAATAACTCCAGATGGTAAAAGACATATATACAGTTATATAAAACTTGATACTGAAATCATTACCTAGAAACACTTTTAGCCTTTGAGTTTGGCACACAGAATAATACTTAGGAACAAGTATGAAATACAGAAGCAATCTGCTTCTTTTTTTAAAAAGGTACTGTACTTAAAATCTCTGCATACTGACTCAGATCAAGTTACTAGTAGTTAATTCATGTATAGCAATGGCATATTTTACTTTCCTGTCATTAAGATGAAACTCTTTTAAGATACCTGCTGGTTCCATAGTTAGAAGAATGCCACAGTTGTGTGCCTAATTTTTTTAAAATACAGTGGTGCCCCGCATAGCGACGTTAATCCGTTCCGGATTAATCGTCGCTATCCGGAAACATCGCAATGCGGGTGGGAAAACCCCATAGAAACGCATTAAACTTCGTTTAATGCGTTCCTATGGGGTGAAAACTCACCGTTATGCAAAGATCCTCCATAGCGCTGCCATTTTTGCGTCCTCGGTAAGCGAGGAAATCGCGCAAAAATGGTTGCGGCGGCCATTTTGGAGCCGCCGATCAGCTGGCCAAAAATGGGGCCGCTTGGCCAGGAGGGTGGAGGAAGGCTCCTCCTCTCTCCTCCCGAGCGCATCCCGGCTTTTTTGGCCGGCTGACCGGCTGGCGATCGGGCAGGAGGGGGCGGGAAGGCTCCCCCTCCCCCTCCCGAGCGCAAGGCGGCTTTTTCGGATGGCTGACCGGCCGACGATCGGGCAGGAGGGCGGAGGAAGGCTCCCCTGCCCCCTCCCCCACGCACGGCAGCTTTTTTGCCCCACTGGGCTCGCGTCGCAGCTGCCGCTCTCACCGCCTCGCCGGCTTCCATCCTTGGCCGCCGCCGGTTAGCGGCACATCGCGCCCCACCACTTCTCTTGCTCTCGCTGGTATTGCTGCTGCTGCGCGTCTTGGCGCCGAGGAGGATTCCCTGGCAGCTGCTGGAGTGGAGAGCGGCGCTGCAGCGGCTGGTTCCCTGCTGGCCGCCTCAGCGAGGAGGAGGAGGAGGCTGTCAGGCACGTGGGAGGGCCACGAGCATGGCCGCGAGGGCTCCTGCTCCTGTCTCGAGGGCGGCTGCCTGAGGCAGCTGCCTCGCCGCCGGAGGCCTCCAAGTGCAGAGGGCTCCTCCTTCAGCTTTCTTCAAGCCTTTCCTCCGCTGCCGCCATTCTCCAAACGGCCTGGCACGGTTGGCGGAGGCTGCTTGAAACAGACGGAGGCGAGCGAGCGAGCCGGAGCCCCCCATGCTTTACAGGTAGTGGCGGTGGCAGCGGAGACGGGGGTGAGGGGTGGCTCGGGGAAAGCCGGGAGGCAGGGCAAGGCCCGGGTGTTCCGGGCGGCCCTCCTCCCAGCGGAGGCTCCTGCTCAGCTGAGCGGCGGGAGCTCCTGAAGGGGAAGCCCCCGCCGCTCAGCTGAGCAAAAATGCTGGTGGTGGCTTCCGAAGGACCGCGGGGGAGGGCTCCCCGGTGGTCCTTCCGAAGACACCACCAGCATTTTCCCTCAGTTGAGCGGCGGGAGCTGGTCAGCTGGGGGGAAATGGGCTATGGGGAAAAATCGCAAAGCGATTTTTCCCCATAAGCAACATCGCAATGCGACCGCAAAAGCCATCACAAAAAAGCCATCGCTATACGGATTCGTCACTAAACGGGGCACCCGTTAAGCGAGGCACCACTGTAACTAAATCATTGCCATTTTTCTTTCTGAAACATAATAATATCAGACCAGCTTTCAGGTTTAGTGATACTATGTAATAGATAACAATACATATTTGCAAGATCCCAAGGGGTCATATTAGCTTACATAGCCCTACAAAAAGTAAAGACAACTCAAAGACTCAAGTCATGTTTCAACAATATATCTTAATACCAGCACAACAAAACTGATAAACCAGTTTAAGATTAGAAATAATGTACACACAATAAGACCTACAATTTACTGCGGATATAAATACAGTAACTGCAGAAATACAGAACTATCAAAAGTAAGTTCTTCACACACAAAAAATCTTACTAAAGTATTCTTCCATCATTAGTCAAACACAACACATACTTTTCAGTATGTTAAAGCTATCTTACAGGTTTGCTTCAAACAGCGTAACTATGTTCAAAATCAGTCTCATGGGGTTTGTTAAAACGAAAACAACGGCAGAATGTTATACATATCATGTGATCCTCAAACAACCATATCAGATTTTCAAAGCAACTTTCCACATGTTTATGCTAGTTGTGCTCAATGCACCTTGCTACAGAAAGGGCTTATATTGGCTAGGAGCCTCTGTTTAGTTTTATTGGTCATAGGACACAATTTCATTTAGCTCTTAGGTCAATATTACATTATGCCTAAACTTGTAGTAAGTTATATAGGTTTCTCTTTTCATTTAGACACTTCGTGGAGAACTCTTCTGAAAAGAGATCACCATACCATGGCTGCAATCCTAAACACATTTAATAGAAGATAAGCCCCAATGAATACTTTGTGAGTGAAGATGCACAGGATTATATTGCAATTAAAATGCCTTCCTATAAAAAGAGATACAGGCCATATACTTTCCAAAGTGTTTCTCCCAACCAACTCAGCCCCATTGCTGCTTTTTAATTGCCCACCAACTCATCTATTCTGACCTTAAAGACCATCCTATGGCTGCTTAAATCTAATTCAATATCTCAAAGCTTGTTTTGTTTCTGAAGCAATACTTAAGAGAATTTGTTGAAAAACAACCATATTATTTTGTGTTTGGATGAGATGTGGTATTAGTATTCAGATGCTATATAAAGCTTGGCAACCTTTTTTTTCTGTTGGCAACACAAGAATGATACTGCAAGACCAATTTCTAATGCTTTGAACTGCGGACACAGAACACATATTCCTCATTCAACACATAAGACACCCAAATTTACAACGGAAGAAATCATTAAGAGGTCTAGGCTAGTGTCATATACTGCTGGAATTAAGTCCCACTGAATTCAACAGGGTCTCCTTCTAAGCAGGCTTGCAAACGACTATAGTGCAACTGTTTTTGGCATTTATATATCATCAGCCCAAGAAGGGAATGCTTCTGGATACCGTGTCAACAATTAATCCTGTCCTTCAGTGTAGTAAGTCCACCAATTTCAATAATTCTTATTCCAGTAATACACCTGTAGTCCTATTTTGCTTACAAAAAAGTTAAGAGGCCTTTGTCTCTTGATGGATCTTTTCTCTCACACACTCTCTTTGGGTTCTTCATCTCAAACTCTGTGGCTCCCTTCTTCCGCCTCCCCCTTGGCTCTCCATATAACTCTCCCCACTGCTCTGTGTACCCATTTATTTGTTCAAAGACACTTGCTCCTGTGGCAAGGCTGAAATTCCAGTCTACCTTCTTGCCCAGAAGTAAGTCCAATTCACTTCAATGAGACACATATTTGATTGAAGTACTAGCAAGATGTTTGGGCAACTGCTATAGAATATTTCAAATAGCATGCAAAACAAGCATCTTCTGACAACAGAATGGATCAACTTCAAATTAAAAAAACCCATGAATCATGGATCTTTTTTTTGAGGGAAGCAGTAGTGGGCATCTGAAAAATAACTACCAAACTAGCTATGAGCTAGAAAAAATTGTAGCAAAATGAGATAATGGGGGTGGGAAGTTGTTGTTTTTTAATCAGTACCTAAAACTTCAAAAGTACTTGTCCAACCTTCTCTAAATTTAGCACAGAGCAAGCCCGTATGTTCTACCAAATATTCTGCCAAATAGGTTCCTGATTTAAAAACCCATTCACAAATTAAAAAATTTTCTTTGGACAGGCCTCTCCTATCAGCAATGACTTAAAGAATGCTGTTTTAACTGGTAACACAATATGAAAGGTGCACTTCCCTGAACTCCCATTGTACAACTTTCATATTGCAATTCATGCTATCCCAGAAAAACTTTCCAACAGAAGTTAGCCTGTGTTGTGGAAAAAAGCTTTAAAAAAAACTAATAATTTTTCTTGGAGAGTACCTGGGTGGCAATGTACCAGCACTGAAGAAAATACTGTCCTACTACATCCTATTTCTCAATCCAGCAGCATTCTCCTTTCTTTTTCCAATTGGCAATTGATGCCGTACCTGTAATCTCTGCAGTCTGCTCTACTTCTCCTCTGTGCATAGTAACAGCAAAGTAACCCACACAAGTTGAATAAGAGTATTTTCAACTTCAGTACTTGTCTCATCACAAGAGCAAAGTTCAGGGGGATACATGATTTGTGTTATGCTGAGCTCCTGATAACATCAGAATAGAACACACTGGTGTTTCCAAACTGGGCCTTGGAAAATGTGACCCCTTTTGGGTGTATGTGTCTGGAAAATAGCCTGTGTTATAGCCTAGCACCAGCACTAGATACAAAAAACAGACATTTAACAGAGGTCTTCTACTCTATTTCTGCACTTGGAGTGATTAAATGACCTACTGTACGTATACTCAGCACAGAGACATCACAGAACTACCTGCCCCAGCAGAGGCTCACTGGAATAAGGCAACACGAGACGACATCACAGAACTACCTGCCCCAGCAGAGACTGGAATAAGGCAACATGAGAATACTAGATTCTGCAAATAAACAATAGAGACTTGGAGTTCACAGAAATTTTCAAATATTTCATCTGTTTTTTGTTCCTGACGAACTAACAATTCTCGCATAGCACAGCAGAAACAATCTTTTCATGTGCTAAATATTTTTTTTTAAAAAAAAAAAAACAAGAAAAGCATTAGACATCAATAATGCCATAGACAGTACTGTAAGGAAATGAGAGTGAAGCTTTATTCACCATAATTACATGAAGGGGAAGAAAGAGGTTGTAGTTCACTGGCCCTTATTTTGCCATTTAGAAGGTCACTGGGAATGCAACTGCAGGGTTCCGAGTAGTGGGTAATTACAATCAAGTATAGTGAAAACTTAACTGGGTGTTAGGTTACTCATCCTGAATATCTGTGTTACTGGTAACACCTTCAGAGACTAAGGGTGTGGTTACACATTGAAATACTCTGGGGATTGTGTCAGGTTTAGTGTATTTGAAATTGATTTTTAAAAATCCATTACATGATGTACAACTGAGCACACATTTTTTTTGGTTAAGAAAGTGAGGTTTATTTAAACACCCACTAGGGGCTTGTACATTTTAACTCGATTATGAACACAAGTTCTTTTGAATCATTTTTGCATGTGTGCTCACCTGTGTCAGAGTAAATTGCATCTGTGGGGTCTGTCAAGTGGATCATGGGTTTCTAGCCTGCAGGGTAAACTTGCAGTCCAATCTGTTTATAACACTGATCTAACGCTATCCCAGTTTGAAAAAAAAATAAAACAAAGCAAAACAAAAACAAATATTAAAATCTGATGAGGGACCAGATTAAAAGTTGTCCCAGGACTATGCAAACAGTAACCCAGAAATCACATGAATACCATGTGACTTTAAACTGATTTCAAAATCCCCAATTCAGCTTCTATTTTATTTCCATAGTGTAACCTCACATTGAGTCTTCCTTTTTAAGGATATTACTTGAAGTGTTCCAACTGTGAGAACATTTCCAGAAATTGTGAGAGGAACAAAAAGGATAAAAAAGAGGGTGTACAGTGGTGCCTCGTTAGACAGTTACCCCGCATGACAGTTTTTTCGCTACACATTGACTTTTTGTGTTTGCGATAGCGATTCGCAAAACAGTGATTCCTATGGGAGAATTTCGCTGGGCAATGTTTGGTCCCTGCTTTGCAAATTGATTTTCATTAGACAACGATTTTGACAGCTCCCTCCGCGCTCACAAAACGGGTGTTTTCGGGACCTAAGCTTTGCAAGACAGCTATTTAAACAGCTGATCGGTGGTTCGCAAACCGGCTTTCCTATGGCCGATCTTCGCTAGACAACAATGATACTTCCCCATTGGAACGCATTAAACAGGTTTCAACGCATTCCAATAGGGAAATGCTTTTTGCTAGACAATGATTTCGCTAAACAGTGATTTCAGTGGAACAGATTATCATTGTCTAGCGAGGCACCACTGTATATAGTAAGGAATCAATGGAAGGAAGGAATGAATGAATGAATGAATGAATGAATGAATGAATGAATGAATGAATGGATGGATGGATGGATGGATGGATGGATGGATGGATGGAAGGAAGGAAGGAAGGAAGGAAGGAAGGAAGGAAGGAAAAGCTCCCCCTCCCCAAAATAAAAGGAGATGTAACCATCCCATAAAACAACTTTAGCTGTTGCGGAAGAAGTACAGCACATATTACAGCAAGTAGATCATAAGCTAATAGTATCAATCTACATAACAGTGTACTCAAAATATCCATGTCATCAAAGAACATCTGCCAAAGAAGACATTAATCTAAATCATAAACATGAGGCCCACTGAGCACACTGAAAGTTAATGATATTTGAGAATGGGAAAACAACAAGATGAATGGGGAGAACTGAATCTGGCCCTCAATTCCTCAAAACCAGATGATATTTTTCAGCCTAGAGACAACACATGCACAAAACCTGCTCACAGTTACACACATAATACTGGAATTAAAACCATTGGAAAATATGTTTAATACAATATAGGAGCATCTTGTCCTTCTAAAATGAAAAATGTTTTGTTAAATTACATAAAACTCTTCTAATCACAATGTTGTGTACCTGAAAAATTCGAAGTTGAGACAAGCTTTGGGTAGGAAGAATTTGTCATCTTGCTTGAACCACAGTTTGCTCATAGCTGTGTCCTGTATGTAAGATAATATATATTTTTTGTTACTTTACTCTACAAAATTGGTTTTTTTTTAATCATTTCAAAATTAAAGCATGGCCTCCATCACTAGTGAAAATGAAAATGTATAAATTTTGAATAAAAGAAAAATCCCAAATCGCAAACCATGGCCAAAGTGTGTCTGTCTTTTAAAGCGGCATGTAAAGGGATTATTTGCATTCATTTTTATCATCTAGAAATCTGTAGATTATTTATGCCTGAGTGTGAGTTAGGTATCGTGTTATGGAGCCAGAGGTTGGGAGTTCAATTCCCCACTGTGTCCAGTGAGCAAAGCCAGCCTATCTGTCCTTGGGCAAGCTGTACATTCCCACAATGCCCCCAGAAGAAGGGAAGGCTAACACTTCTGAGTGCTATCTTCCTAGAAAACTCAGAAGTGGGTTGCCACAAGTCAGAAGTGACCTAACAGCATACATTATTTAAAAAGCAGTGGCATATACGTATAGAAATGGCAAATTTCTGCTATTTAATGAAATACCACTTGTATTCTATGTCACACTCCCAAAAGGAACACAAGTAGCTGCTCGTCACCCAGTGGTAAATCGCTGCTCCAATTTATACCAGTGCATTAATGTCTGTATAAATAACCAAAGAGCAATAATTGTTTAAGCAGTACTATGAAAAATTACTTCTTAATAAACCATTTTATCGTTCCAAAGCACTTTAAAAAGTAACAGTACATATTGAAGAAATTCTAGGGCTTGGCAGTAGCTAAAATAATGAATTACTTCACTCTTTTGTGGTATAACCACAGCTTTTTAGTGACTTGAATAGTTACTGGGGAGTCCGGTGGCGGAGGAGCAATATGACATGGTTCAAGTGCCTGTTTATGCTCTGGAGAGCATTCTCTATTTCATTCTTCTGGTGGCCTCAGAAGACTTTAGGTTTAAAACATTCACCTATTTTATCCACATTTGAGACATATGAAATGGAAGCATTTCTTTTAAAAAACTGAAACAATAATGACAACTAATTTCTTTGAGGTGATGCTGGTGCTGGAACAATGACTGTAACTAATTACTTTTTAAATTTTTTAAGCCTTTGAAAAATTCTGCCTACTATTACCACATACAGAAGATGTATACCTACCTTAATAAGAGTAGGGTACTGTGGTGCATCCTTCTCTAAAGGTACTATTTCAAAGTTAGTAGGAATGAATTCATTCTTCATAGGGAGCTTGAATTTTCCATTAAGATCAGCATTTTGCCATTTCTGTATGAGAGGTGCAAGCAAAAATATTTTTGATATTATTTAATCAACATAATTTTTTAAAAAATCACAATTATAGCTGTGCTATCTCAAAATTCATTACTAAAACTAAAATCGTCATCATTTAGTCGTTTAGTCGTGTCCAACTCTTCGTGACCCCATGGACCAGAGCCCGCCAGGCCCTCCTATCTTCCACTGCCTCCCGGAGTTGTGTCAAATTCATATTGGTTGCTTCGATGACACTGTCCAACCATCTCATCCTCTGTCGTCCCCTTCTCCTCTTGCCTTCACACTTTCCCAACATCAAGGTCTTTTCCAAGGAGTCTTCTCTTCTCATGAGATGGCCAAAGTACTGGAGCCTCAGCTTCAGGATCTGTCCTTCCAGTGAGCACTCAGGTTTGATTTCCTTTAGAATTGATAGGTTTGTTCTCCTTGCAGTCCAGGGGACTCTCAAGAGCCTCCTCCAGCACCACAGTTCAAAGGCATCAATTCTTTGGTGGTCAGCCACTACTAATGTATTAAATTATCTGGTATGAATAACATTTTACAACCAACAAAGCAGCACTCAGATTTTTCTTTTCATGAAACCACAATTACAGGACATGTCATGTTATTTGAAGATTAGTTGAAAACATGCTGTAGTAACCAGCATGTTGAATTACTATGGGATACTCTATGTAGTGTCCATCACCATGTGAGCAACTGTTTTGTCAGTGTTGGTTTTATCTAAAGTTAAAACTCATCTAAATGTTCAAGATACTGTAATCTCAACATTACACAGTTCGAGAGAGCTTGGGCACTTCACACATGGAAGCAAGCTTGTACGTATAGGGAAACACATCCACAAGTAAGTGTCTAGCACATAATTTCACTTTTATACACTGCAATTGGGTTTGCAAAGGATCCTTTATTAAAACCTAAAATTCATGCAGACTCCAGACCACCCTGCTTCTACAGTACTTCCCATAACTGCTCATCAGTCAGATATTATATTTTTCAAATAAAGGCCCCCACAGACATTGCAGTGGCAGCACACCATGCAGAATGCAAAGCAAGATATCAATGTTAAAACATCATCCTAATTTTAAAGACAATATTCACAACATGGACAGAATTGCGGTGCAATATCTATTGCACAGCAGTGTAAAAGATCTAGACAGCTTTCCTATATAACTTTACCTGTGGCCATCTCACTTCACCTGTAAAAATACTTTGTGTTTCACAGCTAGGTCTGGCAGAATGAAGTTATTTGATAGGCATTTCAAACATTAATTTAATAAGCCAATTAACCAATAAGACTATTCATAGACCATTTTATTACAGTGGAATCTACAGTATTTTGGACACCAACACTTGTGAATAATTCCACTGATGCAAAGCACATACTGTATGCAAGCAACATTTGGCAATGACTGAACAATATATTTTAATAATTCATGTAATACAAGTTTCTGTGCTACTAAAATACAAAGTTAACTTTTGAAAAATATTTTCAAGAAATATTACAGATTTTCTAAACACACCTTAATCACTTCATCGGAAATTGCTTCTTGCTTGTATTGTGTTCCATACCATTGTTCTGTTCTATCAGTTTTCCCTTCAAAAGTTTTAGAGACTACTGCGACCCTAAAAGTTAAATCAAAGCACAATGAATAACCAAATGTTCTTCCTTGAAAAAAAGCTATAAAAATAATTTTGCTTGCTCACCAGTTTTTTTAAAGTGTATACCTATTGTTCTAGGCTTTAATACTGCCTTTTAATGATGTAAGATGCCTCTTTATTCATTGCTCTTAGCTTTAAACATTGTCTTTTAATGATATTAACCACCATTGTACATTCATTGTTTTCAACTATAAACATTGTCTTTCACTGTTGCAAGCCACCTTGGGTCCTTTTCAAGGAGAAAGGCAGGGTAAAAAAATATTTTAAATAAAATAAATAAACTCAAGGTGAAATGCCATACAGACCAACCAAAGAATCTGCACGCTTGCTTCTCTCAACACTGTATTTTTGAGATTATTATTTTTAATATAATGATACTGTTAGAAATTTAGTTACCATTGATTCAGCTATATTTACTTCCTAACCAGGAGGCTAAAAAATGTATGAAGGACTAAAAGCAAAGCTGAAAAAGAAGGTTGTAAATTCTCAAGGGAATGCTCACTCCTATTTTTTATTAGTTGGTATCAGAAGACTAGGTGTATTTTTCAAAATAACTGAAGCTGATCAAAGTACAAAAGGTCAAAATACTGTAATTAAGAGTGATGCTGTTGTAGAGACTGAACAGTAACTCTCAATGCAATGGCTATACTGCATAACGTTCAGTCACTGTCTAGTTCCTCACCAGTCTTCTCTGACAACACACTAATTCCATCAAAAGCTAAGTCTTCCACCTCAGACTAAGAGATGTATAGCAAAACCAGGAGTGACAAAGCAAAGTCATCAAAGGCATATTCAACTGTGCAAGAAGTATACTTAACGTTGCCTGCCTTGAAGACAACATGGGTCATTTCTCTCTCTCTTTGATCTTCTGGAAAGTGCTCCATGCGAGTTGTCACCTTGTCCCAGTAAAAGAGCTGGTATCTACCAAATTATGTCTGATGATCAGCAAAAGAATACAGAAAGGGCCGCAACAGCATAGGAACTTCTCCCTATGAAAGCTAAATGCCAAACTTTGTCAGACAGTGCAGTAGAAGATATTCTCTCTCCTTATAAAAACTGTAACTATGGATTTAGGAGCACGATGTTTAAGCAAAAGAATCACAGCCTTCTTTTTGGAAGGGATGGAGATAGGTATCAAGGATGGCATGATTCTAAAGATGAGAAAAGTTGAAGTAGTAGCTGATGACAACAGTACCAAGGATAAAATTAAGTACCAAAAATACCACAAATGTAGGTTGTGTGATAGTGGATGTGAACACTTGGGAAAACAAAAAAGATGAAATAGAAAACATAGGTGGCTTATGGAGTGGTAACACTAAAGTCCTTGATCAACATAAGGAATCACAGCAAGTTTTTAACTAAAAAATCCTCTTGCACTTTCAAAATATTGGGTGACTTTCAAATAGAAACCATCTGAGAAAAAAACGCAACAGCAGAAATTGCATTTTCAAGCAAATAAGACCTTACCTGAACATCACTATTTTGCTAGGTTGAATCAACAAACCTTGACAAAACTTACAAATCCTAGTGTTATGTTCTCCTCTATAGAAAAAACACATTTGTGTGCCCATCTATGAGAGGAATTTTCCCTCTACACTCAGAACAGAGCTTGAAAAATGCCCCAGGGGGCACAAGCCTCTAAAAAGAAAGGAGTAACAAAAAACTAAAAGGGAATTACAACACCCCCCAAATAATAAAAAGAACAACAAGAAGAAAAGGGAAACTCTATTAGAGATGGCTTCCACTATATGCTACCACTGTGGGAGATGATGTAGAATTCAGGAATAGTGTGTGCTATACATAAGAGGAATGGGCTACCACTCTAACTTTGATTCCATATAGGGCTCTGAACAGGCACAAACCCATACATGTGAGGCACAGAGATCACACACAAAAAAGTCTATCTTTGTTTCTTATACTAGAATAAGTGTAGAAAAAGTGTAATTTTGTGTAATATTCCCCAGATGGAGAAACACTGCACAGCACTATGATGTACTGTGTATATTCAGTTGTTCTCTTTCCCTCCAACACAAAAGCAGTATATATGTATCAAACAAAAGCACTCTTCCTTCACTAAATCAAGATGCTGCAAAGTGCTATGGCTGTTGTAGACTTCGAGCTTCTGTAAGACAAAAACACCTGTATACATGTACAGCAATACTATGCACAGACAACAGGGAAGGAGAAATGGGTGGCCAGGCAAGGGAATATCATCAAAACCTTCATTACCCATCTGGTGTAATAATTTGTTTTGTCACCCTCCACAGAGCTCTTTATTGTTTTGGATTAACATAGCTATCTTTGTTGAATGCCATAGAAAAAGGCTATCGATCCTTGAAAAGTATCACTGAAGACTGAGAATTGTTGGACACACCTGAAATATTTTTTACTGTTTCTGATTTTCCTTCTCACAAAGTTATCATCTTATATAATACATTCATACTACTCCTGAAGACACTTTCCAGCATTTCTGAATAGAAATTGAAAGAAAAAAAAGAAAAAAAAGGGGGGGAGGAGAGAGACTCAAGCCATTGAAGTTTTGATCCATGATGGAGAAAGAAAGAAAGAAAGAAAGAAAGAAAGAAAGAAAGAAAGAAAGAAAGAAAGAAAGAAAGAAAGAAAACAGAACATTTTTCTGCCTGCACCTTTCCAGCAGTAGGTAACTTTTAGCATATTTCAATGTTTGTTACTGATTACATCTTTAAAAGAAGTGTTTAGTAAGGAGCTCCTGTTGATTTTTCCAGAAGCTACAGAGATAATTTAAACATAAGAAAACAAGAGTAATTAGCATTTATATTGCCAATTATAAATGTGGGGAAACATTTATTGTCAACGTTGTTCAGTAGCTCAGAGCTAACTGGTAGCTATCTGGAAAAATAAAGGACAGTTGGGACTATAGAACATTTAGGATTTGAACCTTTAGTACAAACAAACCTTAAAACAACGAATAGAACTGAATCAGTGGCAGAAATAAGTAGTAGTTTTTCATTTTAATCTTATGCTCAGCTGCCAAATAATGTCTCAAGATGGAAGATTTTGAGCTACAAATGAAGCACCCGACACAGCCTTCTTTCATGTTATATATGAATACAAGGCACAATACAATCATATGAGTGATGCTTTATTTCCCTTTGAAATTAGTTTCCATGGTAACAATTCTGTCCCTGGTATTGAGAATCACTGCTTATCTAAGTGTTTTCTTGTGTGCACTCCCACAGAACCATGGCTTCAGAATTTTTTTAAAAAAAAAACACCCAAAACAGAACGGTCAGTTATGTACACAAAGGGTGGAAGTCTTCCATTATAACATGAATTATGGTGGCAAAATGACAGTGATATTTACCACGACATGAAGATTATTTTACTTTTACTCCATACATGAGTTCCCTAATAGATGACATTTTTGTTGTCAATGGACAACAGTGTTTTTCTCTCTATAATAAGCTAATCATAAAAATCACAACACCAACAAAAGATTAAGTCACCACATTACTAAGGATAAGATTAAATGTAGCTGAAATGAGGGCCAAGACTGCCAACACCTTCTAGTTCTGGTTTTATGTAAAGACTGACTGGAAAGATTCTATAAAAGCTACAAACCATGATTGAGCTCTGACAAATAATTTGCAAGAAGAAAGCATTCAGCATTCCTACACTTGCTCCAATGTAAGTATAGGGTTCAATTCAGAAGATTCCTAGCTTGTATTCTGGGAGCACTGTGAATGGTGCAGCAAGGCAAACTCCTTGTTGTGTTTTCAAACACAGCTTTCATCTTGTTCTCCAGGTTAACACCAATCAATTTGCTCAGAATACCAAAGCTGCAAATTATAAAACCAAGATCAGAAACCACACTTCAAATCACGTTTTCTGAATTGGAAGTAAAGCATCCAGAAGAGTCAGTAACGATGATATGAAACTAGGATAAAGTACAATAAAACTGAATGATAACTAGAAAAAAAGAGGCTCTTTGTTGTCTGAATGTTATAGAAGTCACATATATAATGAAATTATCAGTATTATCCTCTTCTTTATCTATAGCCACACTACAGAGTATCTGTATATAGATACTAAGATAGATTCTAAGTACTTTTTTTCTTCCTTGCACAAAATAAGAAAACCTAAGCAGTTATGGCAAACAGTTTTTGTTTGTCTTTTATTGTTTTGGATGTAATACAGTTTTTATCCACCAATTCACCAAGCATCACTATATTTTCATCTCAATCATTGAAATATATCAAGATAGCTTACCGGACATTTTCAGGTCTCAATTTATCTAACACCATTTCTATTAAATCAGGTCTAAATTCTTCAAGCAAATATTCAGCAGCAAGAACTTCTTCTATAGGATAGTACTAGAACAAAGGAAATATTAACCCTTTAGTCCAAACAAACAAACATAATTAAATCCACTCTGCATTATATTCAAAAGATGAAAACGCAGGCATTAAGGGTGTCAATTTGGAATGCTATCAGCAATTCAGAACAGAGGGCATGACTCTATGAATACTGACATCAATGTCAAAGATAAATATGTAGTAAATGCTGACCCCTGGAGGACATTTTTGCAGTGAACAGAAGGAACAGAGGAAGCATTTTATACTCCAAATATACTGATGGAGCAATATCTCAAGAAACCAGGAATTGTAGCAGGAGTCTTAAAAGAGGAAAGGAGTTCAGTACTTCTTGAAAGGGAACAGAGCTCATTACTGAGCATATGGCCTCACAGCTAATTTGCACACTAATAGGTTTTTTTGCTATACCTGTCTGGGACCGGAGTAATCAAAGTCACCATACAACATTTCCTATGGCTAGGAAAGTTGTATCCCTCCAAATTTGCTAAATTCCCATCAACCTCTGTCAATGTGCCCAGCGCTGTGGGATGACGGGAGCAGAGAGTTAATTTACAGACAGAGGGCCACCTTCTGATCTAAAACAAAATCTCAGAAAATACTGTAAAATCTATTATGAAGAGAAAGATGAAAATATTTTTAAAAACTGTGCCCCCCTTGGCAAAGGGAAATTGATTACTTAACACCCATTCTCCCTGGAGGAACAGCGGAGAAATGAACTCCGAATCTCTGACTTTGCAGCCAAATACCTAAATCACTGAACTATCCAGCCAACTTGTCAATATAGTACTAGATATTTTCTGAACTGGACTACTCATATCAGCAGAACACAGAGGCTGACCTGCCCACTTCAAATGCAGAATGATAGATTTCTTTACAAGTACTGTATAACTCTTGCCCAACTCTTTTTGTTAAGAAATATTTTAACATATTTTAACATATTTTAACAACTAAAAACACTGATGTATAGGCAGGCCTTCCCAACAGAAAATTCCTGACGATCTTTCTTTTCCTATATCTCTCTTTGATTTCTATCTTAGTTTTGGTGCAATGTTCTTAAAATTATATTGTTCTTTTTTATTGTAAGCCGCCTAGAGTGGGCTAATACATCCAGATAGGCGGGATAGAAATAAAATAAAATAAAATNATAAATAAATAAATAAATAAATAACATTATTCTCTAGCTAGTACCACATTTTAAATCTATTAACGTAAGGACAGTAGGACTGCAATATCCATGGGGGATTGATTCCAAGCCACCCTACCTGCAGATGCTATAAACAGCATCGTCTCCGGTTCTCTCTAGTGGCCAGTTCTGGTAATAAATCTTGGAAATGGTTTCTGGATTTTTAATTTAATATTATCAGGCAGTGGATAACTGAAATCTGCGGGTACTGATCCTTCAGATACACCAGCCCTGCTATACATAAAAATAAAAATGTGCAACTTACATGCAGCATCCCTCCGAGTTTGGATGTATAACCTCGGGGTCTTTCCTTATCTTTAAATCTGAATGCTACAGCATTTAAGTCCTAAAGCATCAAAGAAATTAAAGTTACAGCACTCTCCTGTTTGCTGCACAGATATGTCAGACTAGTATTATTAGAAAAAGGCACTATAGATCAGTGTTTCTTAACCTTTTTGAAAGAAACGCCCCCTTGAGCCATTGAGGAAGTCATCATCGCCCCCCTCCCCGCGGTGATGATATCTTTTATTTGTTTGTTTGTTTGTTTGTTTGTTTGTTTATGACACTTAAATCCAATGACCCCTGAAAACAAAATTCAATTCCAAGAAAATGAAATGCCCCCAAAAAGTAACATTTAATGATTTAGTTGCAAGCGAATTTTAAGACGCAAAAAGAAATATAAAAAGGGCATAAAAACAAACCACAATGCAGGAACTAAAAATTTCAAGACGAAAACTCTGAAACTAAATTAAGATTGGAGGAAAATATATATTCATGCACACTGTAAAAAGGCTGCAGCCATCTTCACAGGTTTGGCTTGCTCCAGCGCCCCCTACCGCCCCCCTTCTGCTCCAGCGCCCTCACGCCGCCCCTTTTCGTTCTACCACCCCCCTGAAAAATGAAATCGCCCCCTGGGGGGCATTATCGCCCACATTAAGAACCACTGCTTTAGATGATACATTTAGTTTCAACTTTGAAGCTACACACTAACTCAATAAACATGATGCAGTTTAATTAATTAATGCTACCAAAATAAGAAAATAGCTGAAAAACTATGTAAGTAATTACAAAGTATTTGTGAAGAAGAATGAGCAAACCAGTAAAAAGGAATGTTACTACTGTAATCTTAAAATTGATATAACCAAACATGCCAGGTGAACACAGGGCAGGAACTGCAAGCTACAAACCTTGCAAAGTAAAATGAACATTAAAGGGCAACTCTCAGACAGACAGACAGACACGTTTCTATGACCATGTTCTAAATTAAATAAACATTTTATTACATAAACTCATATAATCAAATTCATATAAACTGTTCCTTATTAAAGGCAACTTAAGGCCTGAGAACCATACGTGGCCTTTAGAAGTTAAATGTGCCCTTCATTTCCAGCACCACTTTGGGTATCTATTCAAGTGCCAAACTTACACAACAATACGCTAGATAGTCTTTAAAGTGCCACAAAATTCTTTATTGTTCTGGCTGAAGTAGACTAACATGGCTAACACTCAGGAAATATTTTTGTAGATATGACATACCTTACATTCTTGAAAAACCCACTCCTGAGGTCCTTCTGTACGTAGTTTTTGAATATACTGAAACATGTGTAAAATAATATCTTCCACATGTACTTAAAAAAGAAAGAAAGATTGCATGCATAAGCAGTTTCTGAAGGGAACACAATCTTAACACCTTAAGGCCAAAATAGAAACTGTACAGAAGATCTGGGATCAGAATTTCCTTTCCAGAATTAAAAAACTTAAAATTAATGAGCAGGACTGTACAGCTGCTTTCAAGCTCAGGGGACTAGTTCTCTGAGAAAGGGTGTTTTTCCTTTATTTTCCATTCCCTTTCCTAACACAAATATCCCTTTTGCATCTGTTCTTATCTCCAAGAGTAGAAAATGCATCTTCAGTCTCACATCTACTTTGGCCTTTAGAGTTCCAATTAGCAGTTCTTTATATTACTTTAGTACAAGGAATAAAAGTTTCAACAGAAACTTGAAAGAATTAAGACTTTAAAGAAGTATTATACAATACTTCCAACACATTCATATGCAAATGTAGAACACAGACAGGAAAAAAACAGTAAGAAGAACACAAGTTAATACTGTGATATACATAGTGGACTCTGTTTTTCAGAGTGAAACACTACTGATCATGAAGAGGTATCATGCAACCAGTTTCTTAATATTTTAAGCAGAATTAAATGTGCCAGGAACATAGAGGTATGAGTGCTAGGAATATTTAGAAGCAGAAGTATAATTTTTACATTTATACAGTTAAGATAGTCTGTGTGGCTTTCATCCATGAAAGGAAGAAATAACAATTGCATAGTCAAAGCATTTTGTAATTCTGAAATTATATATGATGGGACAACATGCCTGATTATTCATTTGTCTCCCACAAGCTATTTCAGCAAGGATCTTCTAGTAATTATTTCTCATTGTTTGATATATAAAAAGCCTTGATAAAGTAACTCATTTGAATGAAGTTTGCTTTAAACACTAAAACAAAAGAATGCAAAAATGGATTTACTTACAAAGTCCTTCTTCAGTAAGGTCAACATTAATGATGAAAAACATGAAGCCTCTAGCACCTTCTTTTTGGCCTCCAACCAGTGTATTTACCCAGCCTACAAAATGAAATATACTCAATAATTCACAATAGTTGATTTTTGTCTTCTAAGTTAATTGCTGGTGTGTGCACAAAAACTTGACAAATATGTGTGTCTTGGTCAATACTTGTCACTTAAGATTATAGAGAAACAGATGAAATGGATGTAATGAGATCACAAACATACAACAATTAAATGTGTCAGTATGAGAAACAACAGCATAGAATACAAGGGAGATTTGAAAGCAAGCATTTGGTCTTCCAGATGTTTTGTGGTTTAACTACATGACCATGGTTAAAGATTCCAGGAACTGAAGTCTAAAACATCTGGAGGATCAAAGATTAAGAACCACTGTTCTACAGATGTACTGTTTCAATTCAGATTACTCTCTTTTTTGCAAGCAGCTTCCTCCTCCCTTTCTTTTGTTCTTGTTTCTATGCTACTGTGCTAGTTCATGCTTTTTCCTCATTCCATAATCTGCTGATAGTTCTTGCTTTAAGGAGCTTTAAGAAGTGTTAAAAGATGGGATAACTTACAATGGAATAAAATGAAATATCTTTATAGTACTTTAGCCCTTAACATTATATTAATTTAGAGGCATTAATCAACTTTAGCAAGGGGATTGTTTTTAATGAAACACATTAAAAGCCAGTTCACCTCTTGATTACCTGTGATGGAAAACAGACATATTCAGTGTGCTACAGACTGAAAACTAATTATAAATTATATAATTTATCAGTAGTCAAGAAAAAGGACCTCTAAATATGTTCTGACTGTATCCCCCTTCAAATCTTTATGCTAAAGGAGTTAAATCTTACAATTATTTGGCTGGGTTTTTGTTTCTTTCCTTTTACTCCCTTATTATTACCCCAGCTCTATATACTACCTCACTAATATACTAGCTCCAAACTACCTGTGGTTCAAGTTTCTTATTTCAGAAATATGATAAACCAACAGTACAGAATTTATAGCCCAATATCTTCTTCTCTGCAAACAAGCTCTCCTTTTTCATATTAGAAGTTCACATTATTAACTACAGTCGTGCCTCGCTTAATGATTGCCTCGCTTAACGAGGAAATTGCTGTACGATTAGGTTTTTGCGGTCGCTTCTGCGATCGCAAAACGATGATTTAAATGGGTTTTTTTTAGTTTAACGATGATCGGTTCCCTGCTTCGGGAACCGATTTTCGCTTTATGACGATCAGCAAACAGCTGATCATCAAGTTTCAAAATGGCCACCGGCTGAAGAAAATGCCCCCCGCTGTTTTCTAGGACGGATTCCTCACTTTACAGGCACCAAAATTGCCGCTGTATGGAGGATCTTTGCTGGACGAGCAGGCATTCAGCCCATTGGAACGCAATGAACAATTTTCAATGCGTGTCAATTGGTTTTTTTTATCTGTATTAAATGTAACTGTGACAATAAGATGACAACTTCTGTAATTTTCCAATGCGCTCCCCTTTCTTGATATAACAGTTAAAGAAAACTGCATCAAGTTCAGTGGATGAATACTGTCACATGAATCCTTGCAAAAATCATAGCAGTATTCCTCTTTGCATCCTAATTCCAATAAAAAGGACCATAGAAATATTCCTTCTGCTTTTTCATATAAGAAATGCTGATCCACTGATTAAAGAAAATGTAACCTAGCATTCCAGTACTATAACAAGAGTTATATTGAAATACAGTATAGGTATTCATTTCACTGTACATGTTCTTTTATTTATAACCTTTTAAACTAAGTTTCAATCCAAAAGTATTTCAGGGTGCTATACTAAGACAAAAATCAATCAATCATATCAACATAAATAAAACAGTATTCCACAACAATTCAAATAAGACAACATTTTTAAAACTGCAAAGCAAGAAGTGGCAATACGAATATTTAAAAATCCTTGACGCCTTGATCTAGCTGTACTTCTTTTTAAAGGCATTCGAAGTTGTTGAGCCACATCATAAAAGACTCTGTCATCTGCAACTAACATAAAATCCTTCAGCAAAGTATCTGGAGAAGACCTTCTATCATCTTGGGGCTTACAGAAGGCAACATCATGTTGCAGGGTTCAATCATTTCACAAACAAATTGAAGAACAGAAGGCTGAAGTAACTTTTTCAGATCTATCATCCACAGTTCCAGAGTGAAATACCACGAGCCATCTTTTACTTATTTCCCTTACCAAAGGAAACACTCCTTCCATCTTTTAAGGTACTAGCCTCTAGAAACACTTGATTCAAAACATCATAATATGCCTAATGATTCAATGTCAACTCTCTACAAGTCTTACCTTTAGCCTTCAGTTCTGATAAAAGACTTCCTGGACCTTCATGTCCAATAAGATGACCAAGATAATGACCAGGGTTTGATTTATAGTACTTCTGAAGGTCTGGTATTGGAAATGTGACATAAAGATTTCTAATATCTTTAATGGGCACCACTTGGTAAAGTTGCTGTGAAATAAAAATGAACATGTCTGATTTAAACGTAATCCAACAGTTTGCCTGAAGTGTTTAGGGGAGTATTTTAACACCCACATATACTACCGTGTTTCCCCGAAAATAAGACAGGGTCTTATATTAATTTTTGCTCCAAAAATGCTTTAGAGCTTATTTTCAGGGGATGTTTTATTTATTTTTTCCATGTACAACAGTCTATATTTATTCAAATATTGTCATGTAATTGTCTTCTGGTTGCTGCACAAGGGTGGAAGGTGGGGTTTCACTTAACTGGGGCTTATTTCAAGCATCCTGAGAAATCATATGAGGGCTTATTTTCAGGTTAGGTCCTATTTTTGGGGAAACAAGGTGAACACAATTCAATACTACATATTATTTATTTCATGCAGAGACTATAACATAGTATCAATATTGCTTACAAGCAGGGATGGGGACTTGTGAATTGCAGTTGAGTCTGACTTAAGTAGCACCAGCAACTTGAATTAGAATTGACTGTTTTTTTTAAAAAAAAATTTGGACTTGACTCACAACTTGGACCCACTTTTTTAGAGACACATTTTAAAATCCCTATTATTTAATGGTGACCTGCAAGGATTCGAAAATGCAAAGCCAATTCTTTTTTAATAAGAGGAGGACATAGCAACAGGGAGTGAAGCCTTCACTTACCTTCAAAGAGGCAGCCTTGATGGTTTCCTCTCGTGAGCGTGAAGGGCCCACCTTTCTCCTCCTCCTCTTCTTTGGGCCACTTGAAGTAAGGAGGAGGAGGAGGAAAAGATGATGGCGCTCCTGCTGAGGACGCAGCAGCCTCAGAGGCAAGGGGGCACATCCTCAGAGATAGCAGGCCCAGTTTCTCTTTCAGGGGCTGGCTGCTGCCTCCACCCTCTACACTGATCTGTCAGCTGGGTGTTGGCTGTGTGGGTGGAGGCAGCAGCTGACTCTTTGAAGGGATGTCCAACCTGCTGCCTCTGAGGATGTTGGCTGTGGCAGGAGCAAGTAGAGGCACCCAGCAGCAGGGGGGCATCAGTGGCACCAGTGGGTGCAGTGGCAGTGGGAGGCACGGCAGAAAGGCTTGAGACTTGATGGAAGACTTGCCAACATCCCTGCTTATGAGCATTTCCTATGAAAACAATTACTACACTTTCAGGAACTGACTGATTCTGCATGCGTAGAACAACTCTGACCCATGTAGTACTTCATTGTCTGGATGCAAAGTAAATTTCTGAATGAAAGTGTAATACAGTTTCAAACCCACCCGAAGATGTTCTTCCTGGAAAGGATGTTCAGGGAATTCTGGTAACGGAACATTTTTGTTCTCTACTTCAGAGAACAGCTTCACTACCAAGCTTGTTAGCTCATCTAGAGATTCTGTTTAAAAGGGGAATGGAGGAAGAAAGTTATTCAAAATGAAAATGATCTCTCCATCTTCTCATTTTAAAGAAAGCCCATTAAGCAGGACTTTAAGAAAAGCCACATATAACTGAATGAATCTTTATAAGTTAAATAAATTAAATAAATAAATAGAATAGAATAGAATTTGCATGCTATGGTTCCTGAGGTTTTCTGATTATTATTATTATTATTATTATTATTATTATTATTATTATTATTATTATTATTATTATTATTATTATTATTATTATTATTATAGGAATTGCATAAAGGGTACAAGGGATAAAAGGGATTAAAACGTGGGAAAAGGAGAAAATAAAATATATTGTCATCAAACCTTATTGTTCGCGTTACAATGTCTAATCAACTTTCCGCATTTGTATAGTTTAATTGCCCTTCTAGATTTCCACTTAGTTTAGTTTTATATTTATCAAGCTCTATCTACTGACTCAAATCATTTGTATAATACCCCAGAGGAACAAATTAAACAGGGTTTAATTCGTTCCTATGGGGTTTTTTGTTCCATTTAGTGATGTTTCTGGATAGCAACATTAATACTGGAACAGATTAACGTCACTATGCGGGGCACCACTGTATTATAAAGCAACATTTTTTGCAAAAGAGTATGCACTGATGGTTGTTGTGGGGTTTTCAGGCTCTTTGGCCGTGTTCTGAAAGTTGTTCTTCCTAATGTATCGCCAGTCTCTGTGGCCAGCATCTTCAGAGGACAGCACTCTGTGCTCTGGTGTAGTTTGCCTGGGAGTGGAGAGTATGCACTACTATCCAGTACTGCTTTGCTTCTCTAAAAGTCCACCACATGTGGTAAAAACTTCCTCTTGTGATTTACACTTCCAACATACATCTGATACCTCTGTACAGATCTACGATAGTTTTTGGAGTTATGTACCACTTATAAAACATCTTATATATGTTCTCCTTAAAGTTAACTGATTTTGTGAGCTTTATATTATTTTTCCATATTTGTAACCAACGGTCAATATCAATACTGTGCCCTATATTTTGTACCCACTTGATTATACATTATTTTACAATCTCATCTTGCATTTTAATTTCAAGCAAATAATCAAATGTTTTTCTTGATTACCTTCTTATTTGAGCCCAACAAATGTTTATCAAATACCATTGGTTCTGTATAGAAGCCCTTTATTTTATCTTTTGTATACCTGGATTCCATTTGTGCTCTAGACCACAGTCTGTACTTTTAATGCAACATAATATATTCTGCCTATAATTAGACATGTTCTGGAATAAACAAATATTGGCTGTAATCCTGTAGTAAATTGCAGCTACAATAGGCCCACTGAATCAGCAGAGATTTGGTACATCAACTCCTATGCAAATCCTATTGATTTAATGGGCCTACTTACCACTGGATTTCAACCACTGGATTTGAACTTAAACACAGAGAAAGCACAAAGAAGTTAGTAAGCACTGTGGAACTGTTACTCAACAAAGCCCTATACAGCCATGCTCTCGTTTCTGGAAAATAACCATGCATTTACCCTGGATATCTCAATGCTCAGATATAGGTGAAATACCTATATTTTATAGAAGCACTGGTATATTTAGAATACCAAGCTCTACAGATACCAGAACTTTTGATTAGTGAAAGGGAACTGAGGATCCTACATGAGTAGAAGAGCATGCACAGTACAGGATATTGGCTTAACAGATCTTTAGCCTAGAATGTTCCAAGGAGTTTCATACAGGTGCAAAAAGAACCCACATATCTGATTCACAGAGACCATGAAAAATCAAAATTTCAGGTCTCCTTAACTCTTCATCAGGAAGAGATGGTATGAAACTTGGGTTGAAATGAAAAACTTCAAACATTTGGCCAGATGTTCATGGCTCATGAAGCCAGACTGCTAACAAGGCAAAATGGAGGTTTAGATTCCACATGAGACAGTGGCATCATTTTGTACTCTTCTCCTACTTCGTGCTGGCAAACAAAAAAAACCTCATTTTACTTTCAATAGTTTTGTGACCCAATAAAAGTACGGTCCAAAACAACAAATGCTATTAAAAGCTAAGAACAATGCATTACTACAGTATTAAAAAAGAATTAAACAAAAAAAATTAAAACTAGTCAAAGAATAATTCTAAAAAGAACAAAAACACAATAGGCCCATTTTGAGAACCTCCTCTTAGGTAGTTCATTGCTAAGAGAAAGCTGCATGAAGAGAAAAGCCCTTGTTTACTTGCAGAAGAACAGCAGACAGAGGGTCAGCCTGGCTTAATAAGGGAAAGTGTTCCAGAGTTTGAGAGCAGCAACACCACCAAATGAACCTGTGAGGGTGGTATGGCTGAGAGAAAGGAGTTCTCATTCTCCTGCCCTATGGATTACACCAATGCAACTTATAAAAAATCTTGTGAAAACAAACTAGTTGAATGAGCTCCCCCATAAGTTTCCCATTCTTACCTCGTCCCAGCACACAGACAGCCATTAAATTTGATGAATAATAAGTGGAATGAAACTTCAATAGTTCTTGTCTTATGTCTATTCCTTCCTGGTTTGGTCTAGTTTCCAAAGTGAATTTGTTTCCTATAAAGGAAGAATAAAATAAAGGAAGCCTCACAATGAGTAACCAATGGTAATACAGTTTCACACCAGCTACTGATCTCTGCTATTACAATGGAGAGCAGTGTATACATTTCAAAATCATATTGCAGCTCCACTCATCTCTCTAGTTTGAGAGCCAAGACTAAAGTCCAGCTGAAATGCATGCAGGATTTCCTCTTCGCCGATGATTCAGCCATTGTTGTCCTCTCTGCTGAAGACTTCCAACAACTCATGAATCATTTTAGCAAGGCCTGTCAAGACTTTGGACTAACGATCAGCCTGAAGAAAACACAAGTCATGGGCCAGGGTGTAGACTCACCTCCCTCTATTACCATCTCCACACAAGAATTGGAAATTGTTCATGACTTTGTATACCTTGGCTCAATGATCTCTGACACTCTCTCCCTAGATGTTGAGCTGGATATATGCATTGGCAAAGCAGCTACCATGTTCTCAAGACTCACAAAGAGAGTATGGCTCAGTAAGAAGCTGACAACATATACCAAGATCTAAGACTATAGAGCCTGTGTCCTGAGCACACTCCTGTACTGCAGTGAGTTCTGGATCCTTTGTACATGGCAGGAGAGGAAGCTGAACACGTTCCATATGCGTTGTCTCTGACACATTTTTGGTATCACCTGGCAGGACAAAGTTCCAAATAAAGTAGTCCTAGATCGAGCTGAAATTTTTAGCATGTATACATTATGAAAACAGCAATGTCTATGTTGGCTTGGGCATGTTGTGAGAATGGCTGATGGTCAGATTCCCAAAGATCTCCTG